TTTAACACAAAAAAAGTTAGTTACTACATATATTGATAACTTCCAAAATAGTAAGAAAAAAAAACTGTTACTTTTAAATACTTTGTATATAGCCAATATAGTTAATATAGTACACATATCATACATAATAAGCATAATATTCATAATGTTAATATGAACAGTTATTATGTATTCTAATAGTTAAAATCAACCTTGGAAGTTAAAGCTTATAAAATATCAAAGCAGCATAACCTATTTAAATGAAAGAACAAAAAATAAAAAAATCGAGTTCATATCACAAATTGCTTTTTATTCTATGTATTAATAAAAAATTACTGCTCTTACAAACACATAAGACTATTAAACCACATACTTCTGAAATAAGTAACATATTTGAGATAGAGAAATAGCAGTCACTTAGTATTGAATTAGCACTAAATATATAGAACCAACAGCAGAGATATACTTATCTAAATCTCTAGTAAAGATACTGCAAGACCCAAGGTCCTTAGAACTTAGTCAAAGTTTTTCACACCCCGATCGAAGCATATCATTTAAGGGGTTTCAGCCTTGTTTTAGAGTAGTTAAATTCCAGTAACATATAATTAGTCACTATTTTTTCACCAAATAAGCTTTTAATTAACAACAATAACATGATCAAAGAATGCATCTGAATATGTACAATAAAGTTTACTATGTACAATGAAAGCAATTATTACTGATTTAGAAGGTAATGTCAATTGTGATGCAAGATACAATGTGGTGAAGTGAAGTGGCAAAATGTTAATAATACTTATCTTGAAAAAGTGTGAGTCTTAAATTAGATACCACAACAAAAAATGTGCTACAAATTAAATAAACTGTAAATGTTAGAGGAAAATTTTTTAAAAATGAAATAGTAACACTGCATACTATTTGGGCACAAACTAATAAATATACCAATAAAATAATTGTAGCCTAAACTAAATTGCGCATATGAATATGTTCTAGGATAATTAATAAAATAATTACAAATATTACTATTACAGGATAGTAAAATTAATTGCAATATAAAAATATCAAGTGGTGAAGTGAAGTGGCGAAGTTTAATATATTTATCCTAACAAAGCATTAAATATTACTTATAAAAAATATAAACATATTTGCATAAAATGGAAAAATAAAGTGGTTAAATCAATATTGCTATCAAAATTAGAAAAGCAAAATGAATATTTTACCTGGTTTATATAAAAGCCTTATGGCTTTTGTTCGAAATGCATATAATCAAATGAAAAAAATTATCAATTGGAATAGTTTTTACTATACTGTAATTATATAAAAATATAAAAATCAAGCAATTAGATCGAAATTACTATCAAAATTAGCAAGACGAATACTTTACCTGATTTATGTAAAAGCCTCATGGTTTTTGTTTGAAGTGCATATAATCAAATAAAAATTAGAGTAGTTTTTACCATCATTGTAATTGTATAAAAATACAAAAATCAAGTGATTAGACTGAAATTGCTATCAAAATTAGAAAAGCAGAATGAATGCTTTACCTGATTCAAGTCAAAGCCTCATGACTTCTTGTTCAAAGTGCATATAATCAAATAAAAAAAATATTATTAATTAGAGTAGTTTTTACCATTGTTGTAATTGTATAAAAAGATACATTTTGTCATTTTTGTAAGTCTGTAAAAAGGTTCTATCTAGCAATATAATAAATCATATTTTTTAGCTCTTGATAAATTACCTTAATTTGCCCAATGTCTTTGTTTTTACCTTTATCTGGTTGTTTTGCAAGTTACAAAGCTCTCATTCAACATGTCCAGAAATATGCCTTTAATGAATATGCTGTATGTATCAAATGATCAGAGAGAGATAAATTTGTTTATTTGCACTGTGATAGAGGTGGAGTCTATAGAAACTTCTTAAATCTTACAGAAAAGACCAGTCAAAAAGCTACAAGCACACGATTAATAGACTGTCCTTTTGAACTATATAGAAAAAAAAAGGATGGTCAATGGCATCTAATAATAAATAATACAAATCATAACCACAAAGCATCTGAAGATATGTCAGCCCATTCAACAAGTCGATGATTGAGCACAGAAGAGCAACAAAAAGTCTAACAAATGTCTGCATCAGGCATTCGTCCTCAAGAAATGCTTTCAACTCTTCGTAAAAGCAACCCAAATCTTACAGCAACCTCAAAAACCATCTATAATGCTCTGGACAAGATTAGGCATGACTATCTTTAGGGCTGCACACTAATTTAGGTCCTTCTTGACAAGCTTAAAGAAGAAAATTTCGAATATGACTATCAGTGTGATTCAAATAGTCATATAACTCATCTTTTTTTTGCACATTCAGTATTTATTGCATTTACCAAAGCCTATAACTCCATCCTCTTGATGGATTGTACATATAAGACTAACAGGTTCAGAATGCCACTTCTGCATGTCATTGGCATAATATGCTTTAACATCATGTTCTCTTCCTGCTTCACATTTCTAAAATCAGAACAAGATAATTATTACAAATAGGTACTTGTTTGTGTTGCATATATTTTTAATGATATTTCAAAACCTCAGGTAATTATAACAGACTGAGAACTAGCATTAATGAATGCTATAAAAATTATCTTTCCTAAATATCAAAATTTCTATATGTTTGGCATATTGAAAAAAATGTGCTTACCAATTGTTATCGTCACTTTCTTACAAACAAAGAATTCACAGAGTTTTTAAAAACTTGGTCTATGCTTATAAGATCTAAAACAGAAGAAAAATTTAATAAAAAATAGAAGGAACTAGCAAGGACATATAATGAAAAATTAGCAATTGTTAGATACTTACAGAGTGTATGATTGTCATTAAAAAAGCACTTCGTAAGCTTTTGGACAGACTGCTACTTACATTTGGGCAATATAACAACATTACAGGTGGAGGAATCCCATGCAATGCTAAAAAAGTACCTTCAGGTGTCAACTGGTGACCTCCATACTGCTCATAAAAAAATCACCTTGGCTTTAGAGAATCAACACCAGGAAATCTAAACTAATATCTCTCAAGAAATAATTAGAATTCCCCACACCCAAAACAAACCATTTTACTTACAAGTAGTTATCAAGATATCCATATTTGCACTAAAAAAAGTGCATGAACAATTTATAAAAGTGTCTAGTGTAACTCTGGACAATCCATTACAGCCTTGCAGTAGTACATTCACAATGTCAATAGCCTTTCTTGCTCTCATAAAATTCAGGAGCATCTCAATAACAACCAATATTTACAACTTACTGATTTTCATGAACACTGGCATCTTCAGAGATCTCAATTGCATCTATAGACACTGGCTAGAATTAAAAAAAGTCCTCTACAACAACAGTAGCAAGAATACAGCCAACAATTTGACTCTTGGCTGCCTAATCAACAAGAAACAGTTTTGAATGAAATTTCAAGTTTGTTCCAAGAGTCTGTTACAATTGTACAAAACCCACAAATGCAACACACACGAGAATGTCCGGTTGGCACAAGAAATACCCAATCATCTATTCAGAAAGACTTATCTGCATTTGAGTTAGTTGATTCAGAAAGATGTATCAAAAAATGTGATGTATGCCATAGAACTGAGCACAATAATAGGATGTGCCTTAACAATAGAGAATAAAATGAAGTATAAATTATATGTTAGTATAACCATAATGTGTAGATTAGAATCACCTTATAGTAACACTACGTATCTTTTCTTTCATTTATATGATCGGTGATCTACACAATTACATTAATTTAAAAAATAAGTACTAGTTTGTAAAATGTGTAGTGTGAAAAACAAATCGCTACACAGTAATAAAGTTAGTATATCATAAGTTTATATACTGTGTGCCATATTTTCTTTAATAAAGATCAATAATAAAATTTAAATTGTATATAATAAGTAAAAGGTTCCTTATACTAACACTAATATGTAAAAGGTTTATACTAATGCTAATATGTAAAAGGAAATGCTAATATATAAAAGTTTTTATATACGTACTGTATATAATAAATAAAAAATTTTATCGTAATGCAAAATTCTATTGGTTATTCACAGTTACACAAAAACACAGGGAGCATGGAATTGTGACATGACCGAATCGATCGACATTATGCATATTCATGATGTGAATAGCAGTTCCTTATTTTTATTCAAGTATATAGAACACAGCATACCACCAAAGACTATCTATACATTAGAGATTACAACTAGTCATATGTACACTTTTGATGCCTAATTTAAATAATTCACTTAAACATTACTATATATGCTTTATACTAGATGTCATACCTGCAAGCCAACTAAGGGTCTTGCCTATTTAAACCTTCTATATATGCAATCCTTCTTGTATCATGAGAACATCTTCAAGACTACACCCATCCAAGTTCCTGATACTAATCAGTATCCTTAGGATTACTTTATCTTCAATAAGAAACTTACTAGAGCTTTTATGTTCCACACATACTGACCTAACAATCTGTATGATACAAAAATAGATTTGATTATATGTCTGTACAATTCCCAGCATTTGATTTGTCCGCGTGACTCTGTTCGTCACATATTGTTATGTGTTGCCTATTTTTCACACGCCATTTTTCACACCTTATATATGTGCGATAACTTGTGTACACGTAAGCGTATATTATCTAAAATATTGTCTCAATATTTAATGTGACCAGTACTACGTACCCTTCATGTGTACAGTATAACGAACGGAAATAAAACCCAGAACCGATTTTATTATATTTATTTAAGAATGGGTTTTTTCTAGACTATAAGTCTAAATTTATATTTATATTTATTATTAAATTTAATTAAATTTATTTTATAATAAAATATTACATTATTAACTATATATTATATTATTACAGTTGATATAATTTAAATATAAATTTATTCCGCATTAGCTTATTAACTCTAAATCAAAAAAGCTTTAACTTAAATTTAACTAACATTAATTAAATATATTTTGTATTAATATTTCCATTTTTTTGCGGATTTCAAGTACAATTGGAATTTGAAATATAAGGATCTTGTAAATTATCACTTAATTCACGATAAATTTCTGTACGACTTCTTAAAACAAACTCTAAAAGTTTTTCATAATAAGGAATGAGCTCTTTAGGAGGAGTAAGTTCCAATGATTCATTAAAATCTGAAAGTGCATTTTCGTAATCAAGCATTTTGTAATAAATTTCTCCACGTTTGATTAAACTTAACGCATCATTTTTATCGATTTGTAATGCTAGATTAAAATTTTTGAGTGCCTCCGCATAATTTCCAGAATTTATATAAGCTTCACCACGACATCTCAAGGCGAATATATTGTTTGGCTCACATTCTAATAGCTTATCAAATTCTTTAATTGCATCTTTATACCTTCCCAATTGAGCGCCTAAAATCGACCCACGTATTAATAATGACATTGTATTAGTTGGATTAATTTGTAAAGATTTATCTAGACCTGGAAGAAATTCTAATAATGTTTTCTTGCCCATTCTCGCTTCAATTTTCATAAGACCATCTAATGCAAAGGTATCATTTGAATTGATTTCTAGAACCTTATTAAAATCTTTAAGAGCATTTTCATAGTTGAGGATGGCCTGATTAACTTTACATTTTCTTAAGCTTATCTTATTATTTTGATGCAATTCAAATAATTGGCCAGAACCTTCTGATTTTTCTATATGAATTCCAAAATTATAATAAGCAGCGCCACGAAGATACAAAGCAAATAAATTGTTTGGTCGATACTCTAATATTTTATTAAAACATCCAATTGCTTCTTCATATTGTCCTAGCTCGAAAAGTAAAATTTCTCCACGAATCATTAACAATCCTTCGTTGCTTGGATTAATCTCCAGTAATCTATCTAAATATAATACAAATTCTTTATTGTGCATGTGACCTTTAGACATAAGATCGTTTAGAATTTTAACAGAATCAGAAAGAGCATCTTTGTCTTGCTTCGTTAACAAACGAAGCATACGACAGGTTATGAGTGCTACCATATTATCAGGGGTTATTTCCAATACTTTATGCCAATCCTCAAGAGCATTTTCATATTGTTTCTCTTGTAGGAAAATTAATCCACGGGTTTCAAGTGCTACTATGTCATTAGGGTTGACCTTCAATACTTTATTTAGAGCTTCAAGCGCTTGCTCATTTCGACCCAATTTAATACACACATCTACACAGACTTTAAGTGCTACCATATTATTAGGGTTGGTCTTCATTATTTTGTCTAGATCTTCAAGTGCTTGCTCATTTCGACCCAATATAGCATATATTTCCGCACGTTTTTCTAAACCATATGTATCATTTGGATCGATTTCCATCATTTTATTGTAATCTGCAAGTGATTCCTCATAATGGCCAAGCATACCATTAGAAATTCCACGCAATAAAAATAACTTTGTGTCTCTTGTGCCAGGTCCAAGTTCTAGTGCTCTGTTCAAATCTGAAAGCGCCTTCTTTGGATTATTCTGTAAGACATAAACAGCAGCACGGTCTTTTAAGCCTTCTTTAAAGTCAGGTTTAATGTACAGTAATTTATTAAAGTCAACAAGTGATTCCGCATATCGGTTCAATTGCCTATAAACAACTCCACGGTAATACAAAACTGTTTGATTGAATGGCTCGATTTCAAGAGCAGAATTAAGTTCTTCGAGTGATTCTTCATAGTTTTGAAGTGATTGTAGTGCTAATCCACGATTTATAAAAATAGATCCATTTGTAGTATACTTAGTATCTAAAAGTTTCAAGTCGTTATCAAGGAGAGAAGAATTTGAATGTATATATTTCAAATCTAAGATGAATAAAATGACGTTTGTAAATATATGATTCATTTTTCCAAAGTAATATCAAATAATGTCATTTATCATTATGTAATGCATATTGGATTATTTTATATCCAGGTGAAGCCTCTTTTATTACACCCTTGATATACCTTCGTATAGACATCTAACAACTTTTATAAAATTATTTTATATAAGGGTATACTTGCATCTTGTTCAAATGGATGCATTTGAAGAGGTTTCACAGTATAATTTAGTTTTTGTAGCGAGGTGGAATGAATATACTATCCCTTACATCGTTCTGCTATCAAGGTTGAATTTTAAGAATGCTGTGACATAAACTAAAATCTAATGTAATTCAAAAGTTCTAACAGGAATCACTCATGATAATTTGCATGTAAATTTGAATGCAAAACGGTGTAAAGGATAGATGCAATCACAAGAAATCAGATAATTATGTCACTTTTCTATATCATCAAAAAGAGCAATCATTTCGTTTTTTCCAATGTAAAATTAATACCTTTTTCATTCTCGATTTGTGTAATTTTCAAATCATCAACTCTTTGTGAATATGGCATTTCTAATAATAATCCATCTGTTGTTTCTTTGTATTGAGCCTAAAAAGAAACGTTAAATTACTATTACGTAGAGCACATGATGTTGAAACAACCTTACCTTATTTTTAGGTATAGGCAAATGATCAACCGTAAGAATAGTGCTAGTGGCCTTATCGGAACCATGAGTATATAAACTATTAAAATCAATTTTCATTTCGGGAATTATATATTCGCCACGAGACATTTTTTGGAGTATTTCGTCAAAATAATGAAAAATTTCTTGCGCTTTTGGTCTTTTTGAAGGACCTGCATCCAAACACCTTTTCATTATTCCTTGGTAGTCATCAGGAATATTTGTAATCTCTGGCGGTCGAAGCCCATCACAAATGGCTCTGGCAAGATGAATATCGTATTTACGATCACCAAATGGTCTACACCTTGCTACAAGTTGCCACATTATTATTCCCATGCTATATATGTCTGATTCTGGTAAATATTTTCCATAATATAACACTTCTGGTGCGATGTAAGGCATAATTCCAAATATTTGATCATCTGGGTTTTTGTTTGCAGGCCCACTAAATCCAAAGTCACCAATAAACCATCCTTTAGTACCAGATAAAATGTTGCCTGGATGAAGATCTTTGTGTATCATTCCGTTGTCATGAATTTGACTTAGTTGATAAAATATTTCTTTAAGTAAAAAGAATATTTCCTTCCATGTTAATAAGACATCATTATGTTCTAACAAGACTCCAAGACACCCATTCTCCATGTGATCCATAATTAACATAAGTTCTCTCGTTTCAGGAAATTGTGTCAACCCGTAGCATTGAACTCCGCGTGAGCCTTGGGATGAAAATTGAACGTGAGTCATTGCCTAACAAATTACAGGCGTAGAAATTATTATTGTAAAACAACCTTCAAATTAATAATCAATAGAAATATAAAACGTAGATTTACAGAACATACCTCTTCAAAAAACTTCTTATTCAAACTATTTGAATTCTTTAATAATTTCAATACGACTTTCTTAGGACCATTTCTTATAAATCCATGATCTTGATTCCAATCGACAATCCACCCTTCAAACCAAGTCGCAAAGTATATAGATCCAAATTCACCCTCCGTTTTACATTCAACATTACCGAAATTTTCGTAAGATACCCATTCAATAATGCTTCCTTGAAACATTGAGCACTGTCCTATTCGACATCTAAAAAGAAGATTGTCAATAAACTCATTACCAGATTTATTTTGATTATTTGCCACATATAAAGCTAAACAGCCGGTACAATAATTGCCATTAGACCGTATTTGGCAGCATCTTTGACAATAATTTTTATTTATTGTTTCTTTATGCCTTTTATGACGCTCAATACACAAGTCGATTTCTTGAGGGTTAAGTTTATCCTTATGTTTCTGAATGAATGATTCAAATTCCTGTGTGCTCATTTTAATATATGAATCTTTTATTTCTGCTTCAATTTCGTTAATAAGTTCGGGACGAATATGTTTGATTTTTTCATTCAGAGATGTCCCTAAATATCCGATACAAAAATCTTTTTCATCAGCGTTGAGCTCCTTGTTTAGTTTAATGCGTGATATATACTCCTTCATCAAGCTTCCAAAGGTCGACTTAGGATCTATTATTTCGGCTAAATTTGAACCTTCCACTAAATCTGTTACCTCATCTATATATTTCTCTACGCGTTCAATAAGAACATGGCTTACTTTGGTGTTCATTTTAGAGTTTTTATGCAAAGAGAATGAAATCATTGTGACGAGTTTGGCTAAAGCCAAATAAAAGGCGTTTAATCGATAAAATAATATAAGTGGTGAATACTCTATGCTTCAGATTTTAGTAATATACTCAACGGGATTTATATAAAATAGGTTTTACTACTTTTTACTAATTGGCCTCTTTTTTTTCTTTTTTTACTAAGGAGGCATCCATAATTTACGTTAAACCAGCATTGCTAAAAAAGAATACCATATGGCATTACTTTAAAGGTCTTTATTTTATATACAAAACTATGCTAGTTTGACGTAATTATGGATGCCCCCTAAACTCATTTGAGAATTTTCATTCGTGTATATTAGATGACTTGTGCTGAAACATGTGTTATAAACAATCATAATCACAAGCATAATACAAATATAAATTAGACAATCCAGATGCGCTATCTTGCAACAATTCACCGTGATTTCGCAATTTCCAATATTATTTTTAATTCATAATTCGCAAATAAATGAGAACAAAGAGACTTCTATAATAAGATATAACGATAATAATATAAAATCACAATTTCTTATAAATTGCTTGTATCTTTTTATTTATTAAACTATATTCTAAATCTTACTACTATTAGAGCTACAAAACTGGTTCTACAACATTGACTAGATGCTCTCAATAAAAAGTTTACTTTATAATGTGTGATGGTAATTTTTTACATTTTATTGAAATTTTTTTTCATTTAAAATTAATCCGGGTATTTTGCCCAAATTTAAAATTTTAGATGTCAAATATTAATCAATGCTAATTAAAACTGAAAAAAAACTTTTTGAATCATTTTGATGTATTTCACTAAACATGGAAATTTATATATATCATAAACTGTGACATTGATTAGCACAGTTAAAATTATATATTAGTAGTCAAAATCTTCAGGTTTTGGTGATGTTTCATATGTATCGTTATTTTTTTTTAAAATAATAATAATAAAATAAATCTATATACATACAAATGTATTATATTATTTATATTAAACAAATTATTTATAACCTCCAAATCGTGCTATAATCCTACTGAAATCATTGGAATGTGCTTATCCATATGTTTTTAAAATGCTAACAGAACATTCCTATACAAAAAAGTCAGACTTTATGGATATTAGAATAGGGCATTGATTAAAAGTCGTCATACAAAGTGAATAATAAATATTAAAAGCCTATTTTGCAACTTCTTTAATTACTATAATCGTATATTAATGGTTGATGAGTTGGCCTTATTTAAGCAGTTAATCACGCAAATTCACTCGTATTGCATATTTATGTCTGTTTAATACGCTAATTGGTTTAACGATAGTTGAACTTGTGTTATCTTTCACAGGTCGAATATTAAAATTTCTATAAGATTTTTGTGAGATAATATCAATATTTGGGTGTTGCTAAAAGAAAACCCGAAAATTTAAATATGACTTATATTTAAATTTTCGGGTTTTCTTTTAGCGACACTCATTTGAAATATCGGCTTGTGTAATATTTCGTGCATAAAAAAAATATCAGGCAAAAAAAAGCCATGATCATAAGCGTTTGCACGATAACAACAGAATATCGGACATTTATAAATCCGATTATCCAATAGACTTATCAAAAGCAATATTCTTCCGATAGGTAGAATACGCACCAAGAATTAGTTAGTTATCGAATTTATAAATGTCTGTTATTCTGCAGACATCTCACAAAAATCTTAAAGAAATTTTAATATTCGACCTGTGTTTTCTTTAAAAGATTAAATGGTGTGAGTAATGCATTATTATAAGGTTAAAAATTAGTCTACGTTACAGTATAAGTGCAACTTCATCTACTCCCAAAATCATTATTGATTACCTAAAATAGATTAATTTTAAATTGTGTAAATTAAAATTTATTGTTTGATGTAGCAAGAAAACTTACAAGTTTATTATAATGAATTAATTGTCGCACATGAGTAGGATAGATTTGCTAGACAAGAGTCGGAATGCCTGCCGAAACAGTCCAAAAGGATCCGGTCATTCAAATGTCGGCACTGCTTTATTCAATTTTATTTCAATATGCAGAAAAACTTATAATCCTTGTAACATAGAAATTTAAATATGCTCGCGTGATTCATAATAACTTCTTGCTTGTGGAATGAATGCACCGCAGATTCCGCATATAAACACTAGGTATCGCACAAAAATCGCTCAGTGTTTACAAAGGCATTTCAGACGAAATTTTTTAAAATTATCATGTAACATTGGTGTTAATTAGCTAAAATTATACTGAAACATAAGAACCACTATCAGACCTCTAAATAAAATGTTACGAGAGTATATGTAAAAATATTGTAAAACGTGTATTTAAGGAGGTATTGTATTTGTGAAGTTATATTAGTAGGTGCCAAATTGAGACTTGCGTAACAAATAAAAATGTCAATCAACAATTGGAAGAGGCACACTTATTTGCACCATAAGTGGAAAAACATTTCTTAAGTTATCAACATGACTTTTTTTTAATTATTATATAAGAATCAGTAATCGTAAAAAGTGATTTACATGATCAAAGATTCTCCTTTAAGAAGAACCTTTATATCTATATATACGTATTTTCGAAAACAAAAAAGAAGTAAAAAACATGTTTGCACAAGACTTTTTTGATAGTATGTACAACTAAAATTGTTCAATTTATCACGATGATTGATAATTTTAGCGAGTAAATTCGTAGATTTGATTGTTATTTCAAAGGGTTAATTTATTATTTAACTTTTACTATCGCTATAAATTTTATTTTATTGATAATCGCAGAAGGTAAATGAAAAAGTTCTTATTTAACCATATAAAAAACAATTAATTTTATATTTTCTTTATTTCAAAGATCGTAAGTTAAATGTTTACTTGTTCATATTAAATAAAGTACTGCATTTTAATTGAAATAACTTGTGACGTAGGAGGTAAGTTGAATCGGAAATTTTTTAATCTTAATTTATTGTCGATATATTGTTTATTATAGCTAATGACAATTCTAGATCGTAAGTAAATAGTACATATTTTCATTAAACTGTTAATTTATTGCCATTAACAAAAGCTACCGTTGCAGGAGGTAAGTTTAGTAACTCCGTAAATATGTTAATCATTTCATACCTTAAAAGTTTAATCAATATTTGCTTTAAAATTATAACGATAATGGTTGATAATTATAGTATGTAAGTTTAATTAATTCACATAATAAAATATTTTAGTCTTTTTTTTTTTAAATAATAATAATAATGATAATTTATATTTTTTGGATGTAGGGGGTAAGTTAAAAATATGTATTACATTTAATAAATATATTCGATTCATTCTTTAATAAATTAATTATTCGATTCATTCTTTAATATATAACCGTTGATAATCGCAGTTGGTATGTTAATAAATTTCATATTATAATTACGCTAAAATATAATTATTGTGTATATTCATGACAGTTAATATTTTGTTGATTATCAGATCGTAAGTTAAATTATTCATATATTTTATTCATATCGATATGGGCGGATCGGCGGAATTGGACCTTTTTTATACCTTTAAATCTCCAAACAAATAACTTTTAATCAAATGGTCTGCTTTGGATGATTTTATCACCAAAATGACCGCTTCGATGAGATGATTCAATGAACTTAAAAATTATTAAAATTCGATCTCATGACCCTGTGATCGAATTTTAATAATTTTAAGTTCATTGAATCATCTCATCGAAGCGGTCATTTTGGTGATAAAATCATCCAAAGCAGACCATTTAATTATAAGTTATACATTGTTTAAATGATATGTATTTTAATAGTGATTCCGTAAATCCGCCCATATGTAATTATTAACTCATTTAAAAAACATTAACTTTACTATCATTTATATTTTACAGTTGGTAATTTTTTTATAGTATTTCACTAATTTTTATCAAAAGACATTACTTTCACTTATAAACTATTAACATCATTAATAGCAAGTAAGTTAAAATATTCAAAAGTTCTATTTACCGATTTTACCGATAATTTATGGTAATACATTTCTATTTAAAATTGCAGAGGGTAAATTGAATTACAATATTTTTTTTAATAAAATTTTGATCATTTATTGATTTATTCATTTAAATCTGTTAAAATCCAGCACGTAAGTTGAAAAAATGTTTTTTATTTGCTTGTTAATTCATGAAAAGACAGTTTTGCATATTTACTATATTAATTTATAATTATTGAACATTGTAGAAGGCAAGTTAAATTAAAATATTTTACAATACTTCTTGTTTATGCTGTGCTAATTTGTCATGTTCTTGATTGTGATATTATTTTCGTCAATAATTTAGGGCGTAAGTTTATTTTTTTTAAATTTAGCAACTAAACTGTAATGATGTGTTTTCAATTTATAATAATTAACAACCTTTCATTTATAGGTGGTAAGTTAATTAAAATAATTTTAGCTCTTTTATATAAATCATTAACAAAGTTTATTTGTTGATAATTATAGATTGTAAGTCTGTTTATCTTTTTAGAAATTAAACATTCTAATTATTTAATATGTTTATTTAATAAATTTGTATTTACATATATTTATCACTATCAATTGTAGCAAGTATTTCAAGATTCATTATTTAATTATTCATATTTTAATCGATTAAATTCTAAACGGCTTTATTTTGATCTATTGTATTTTTATATTGCAGAATGTAAGTCAAATGATTCTAGTTCAGTTCTTTGGCAACCATTTTCCTGACAATTAACTCTAACCCACAGCGGCTTTATATGTACTAATAATAACTCCAATCCGGTCTGCTTAACTGTCAGGAGAATGTGCCACCTAAGTTAAATAATAATTTTTTATTTATTAATTTATATTGAAATACTTGTATTCATTGCTTATAAATTATCCTAGATCGTAAGTTCAATTAAAAAATTAAAAGTTTTTTTTTGTTATTAATTTATATCATTAAAATATATCGATATACCATCCTTATTTATATTAGCAGCT